TAAGGAATTGACACAAACTAATTCTGGTTCCATGTCTCTGCTTGCTACAAGTAACTTTGCAAAAACAATATCTCCGATTTGAATATCAGGTCTGTTACTTTTTGTTGCTCCTTCAAAAGCCAAATATGACAATGATGCTTGTTCGCTAGACCCAATGTCAACTTTGAATGTATCTCCTAGCCTATTTACTACAACACCCACAACAGTTTCTCCTTTTACAGGAACATACCTCTTCTGATAATTATCCACCCAGTATACATTAGGTGCTTTTACTCTAAGAACACCACTTTTTGATATCACAACTTGGTCCAAGTGACGTCGCAAACCTGGCCCAAGTATTATCTTGCTTCTGTCATTTGCATCAGGCACTTGAATTACTTCGCCGGGCAGAACAACATCGCCAATATTTACTTCCATAGTTAATAATACTGTTCGATACAGTTATTCCAAACTGACTTTCACTTCACCAAATCGGATGAAACCTTCTGAAAATGGTAAGTAGTAGAATAGTTCACAGTGTAATTATTTTTGTATATATCCTAACCTCACTGCAACCACAAAAACATTCCAAATAAGTTACTGTACATCTCTGTCCGTAAAACTAGCAGTGATACTAGTCACAAGTAAATACCAACGAAGGTACGGTTCAAAATGTACAATTCACATATTAAATTTCCCTGCTGCAATGACCTTGTCAGTCTACCTTCGTTTTGACTTAAATACGTCTATACGTAAGGGTCATTCGGCAAAAAAGTGAAAGGAAAACGTGTAAAATTCATATCAACAATGTGTAAATATGGACCGACAACAATGGTCAGCTTGCGTGCATTGCTATGTTACCTAAAAAACGTCATCTGTTTACTCGACATTGTTGTGTTACATTACTGCCGTCAACAATCCGCTTTCGTTATTGCGGAAAGAGCTGAGCTGTGAATCGGTTGTAGAAGAAGTGCGTCGTAGACTAGATAATTTTGTGCTAGTAAAAACGTTTTAGAATATCACAAATACTTATCTTATATAAGAATTGTTACATTACATTACGTCAGATTCTCCGGAACCGTGGTTCCACTGTCAACTTTTTCTACCATCACAGATAATATACGCTAAAGTGTGTTGTAAGCCCACATGAGGAAGTTGTGGCAAACGTAATTGCTTATTTGAACGTTTTATTTATTGGAAATTCATGCAAATACGTGATGTGGTGTACGAAGAGATGGTGCATAATTTATTTATACGAAAGTTACATTTTTGTGTAATGTCCGCAATTATTTGATAAATTTTGAGAAGTTTAGTGAATGTTCAAACAGTGGAAGAAGACTTGTTACTTAAATGAGTGTAAAATTTTGATGTAGAAGTTCATATGCTTCTGTAAAGAATGTCGGAAAACTTTGGAAGTAATCCGTTCTCAGCTCTCTTCCGGTCTGTGAATGAGGCTGAATCGTTCACTCAACAGCAACATCATTATTTATCTGGAGTTGAGAATGCAGTTGAAATTGTCAATTCTGTTGATGATGTGGAAAATTCCGCAATCTCTGTAAAAGCTAAGGAATGTTTGGAAGTGAATCAACTGGTAGAAGACATTTTTCACCTGACATTGGATAATAGTTCATGTACTAATACAAGTGGTAAAATAAATGAGCTGGTTTTCCTCGAAGAACTTGCTTTGGCTGTAGCACCTCAGAATTGGATTGATATTGAAACTCTTGAGCAGGCACTTTTTGAGCGGTTGTTACTAGAAGATCCAGAAAGCCATGTTATTGGCAGAAGTGTTAACAAAGAATTGTCACAAACTAATATGCATGCAACCCAGAAAGAAGTCATTCTGTATCTTTTTGAATGCCATAGAAGACTTCTCAGCATGAAAGCAGGAGTTCAGAATAACGGTTATAGCAAGATTATATCTCAGATGTTGAGTTTGCTGGTGAGAAATGCAGCCACGGCCCTAAAACAACCAGAATTGTTTGAATCACAACAGCTCAATTCCCAGATTCTGAAGCTAGTCAGTGACAACAGTATTTCAGAGTCTGACCTGGATGCATTCTTTGATGGTTTAGTTCAGCAGTTTGTGTTAGATGATGGTGAAAACAGTGCTGTGGACACACTTCTTGTTGCATTTTCCTCAACATTGGATACTGTTCATAGGGATGTAGCCCAAAGCAACCTTTTTACATTTAACCACTCATACTTCAGGTTGTTGCATATATTTTCTAGCAAAAGTCATTTAGGTTCAGTCCTTATAGTCCACAGTTCACCACGGGATTCCCATATAGGCTTGACATATGCAAACACCCTTTTAGGTACAATTTTATCTTTGTCTTGCCTGCCTAAAACACATGATGGACCTTATGAATTTTTTGAGAAGTCATCTTTGCAAGCAATTGGTGTTAAAGAAGGAAACATATGGGCTGCTACTAAAATAGTATCAGAGAATTTATATAAAATATTTTATTCTTTGTTGAAGTGTTCAAATGAAGTTCGACATCATACATTGTCTTGGCTTGCTGATTGTTTACAAGCAAATGCAGATCGAGGAAAGCTTTGGAATGACCATGATTTAAACCTAGGAGCATCACCATGTGTTTCTGATGGTTTTATGCTAAATCTTGGTGCTGTTCTTCTGCAGTTGTGCCAACCTTTTTGTTCTAACACTGCAGATCCCAAGTTATTGCGCATTGATCCCACATATTGTGCTGCCAAAGTTCTTGGTGATACTGAGATATGTTTAAAGGGTGTTCATATGAAGAAGTTGGCTTTAGAGACATGCCTCATACCAGCTCAAGAGGATACCTCTCGACCTTCATCAGAAACTTATGGCTTTGTAACTGAATGCTTTTACTTGACTCACAAAGCATTGGATTTAGGATTCAGGGTCACATTTAAGCACTTGATGAAATTAAATCATGAATTGGCTCGTATGCAGCGTGCCTTCATTGATGTTCGGAATCAAGCTGGGGCAAATTCGGAAGTGGCACAAACCATCAGTGAACATATGGAAGTGGACATGATAAGGTGATTATGTTGTGAGCTAAAGATTCAACTAAAATAGATGTTAAAGTGTCAGTATACAATTTTCCCATCGTGTCACACTATTTATGTACATCCCTGCCAATTTGCTGCCTTTGCAACTTTGCCACATTACTTGATTTTGGGATCCCAGTACCCATCCTGCCTTAGGCATGTGGCATAATAGGTTGGAAATGAGAGGAGTGTGCATTGGGGCAGGCAGAACAGTATCCTGATCAACAATTCCATCAGTGTGTTGATTATGTGATGAAATACTGCAACAAAAATTTCTCAGACATGGAATGGCAGTAATTTTACTCCCTTAAAAAAAAACCTCAGCAGATATGGGATTGAGTTTATTTAAAAGGTTATTTAAATACCCCTTTCATTTTTGTAGGTTATGTAGTATCAAATAGAATGATGCTGGATGGGTGGATATAGATACATCCCATAGGTCCTAGAAATCAGGATTTAAAACAAGTCAGAGAACAGTATACCACATCCAAAAAATGCATTACAATGATGGAACATTTTCCAAAAGTAAAACATGCCATGGTAGACCATATCACACACACACAGTTATATCATTGACTGTTGCTTATCAATTATACATTGCATTCAAGGCAGCCAAAATTTCACCACTCCCAAAATAATATCAGTATTTCAAATAGGTAGTTTTTTGTAAGATTATATGCGGTTACATGTAAGTGGTAAATCAGAGTGTGGAAGGAAGTAGTTATGCCTTACATTAAGGTACTGTCACAGCATTTATGTGTAGGTCCTGAGGAAATCCATGGAAATTCTTATCAGAATAGCCAGCATGCAGATAGAGAACTCAAGCTGGGATTGCTTATGTACATAGTAGGAGTGTAACTCCCTTCCCCTCAACATTCTGTTGGGTAGATTTAAGAATAAAAGTAGCTTGAATTATTTTATATATAGATATTATTTGTAGTGGGTCCCTTGTCTGGACCCTTGAACATCTGGCATGCTATGTCCATCTAACATGAAGGAAAATGTCCTCTGTAACAGTAAAAATCTGAGTCATACACTATACTATGACATAGATGTAATTTGAAAAATGCTTTTGGATCTGCCATTGAATAAAATGAGCTCAGTAATAATATAGTATAATACAGGTTAACAATAATTTGTTATATTTCATACAGGTATTTTTCACTTCGTGCAGCACTGCTGGATCCTCAGTCTTTGAACCTGACTGCACAGCTTCTTGTTAGTACAGCAGTGTGGCTGGTGCAAGTTGCACTGGATGTGGACTCTGATCATTCTCCAAGAAAATCTTACGCTCCTACTCAGTTTAGGAAAGTTGAGTTTCCGTTGCCAGAAGAGGTACCAGCAACACTGAGGTAAAATCAGGTGGATGATTACAATGTACAAGAAAGGGCAAGTATAAGGTGTAACAGTACAAAATAGCAATTTGGTTGCATGATATTTCTTAAACTTGGCTTATTTGTAAACAGTACAGACCTTACTAAAACTGTGTGGACAGAATGTCCTGAAAGTAACCTGTGCAGAATCCATGGGCTATAGCTTCATTGATTTATGTGAGAGATGAGCGTATTTGTACAGTATAGTTTGTGCCATTTATTGTAGATGGCATCCAGAGGTACATTTTGTCATATATTTGATGAAAATTTTTTAACATCGAACTGTACCTTACGTATAAAATATGTATACAACAACAACAACAACAAAAACCACACACACACACACACACCTCTTTACACTATGAAGGACACTAATGCCAAGCGCGTTTCGACCTCAAGAGATCATCCGTGGCAAAAAAACAAGTTAATTCTTTTAATGTAAATCAAAAGATTATGGTTTTTAGCAGAGCATAAAGGTAAGTTCTTTACAAAACCATATTTAGTAACACTTCACTGGATGTTGGTTGCACAGGAGTTAGTGTATTATATTGGGCACTTAGCTGTTAGTCCACTCTACCTTACATGCTGCCATTTATTGTGGTAGCTTGTTACAAAAATTATGAATGCAGTTAGTATTTTTATTTAAGAGAAAGTTATAGAATACGTAGTAAAAAATTTAATTTTTTGTAAGTTTTTATATAAAATGAGTGTAAGTTGGATCTGTTATAACCCAGGGAGGATCTTTCTGTGTGTGTGCATATATAAATATGTTTGTGTGTGTGTTTCTTTTCTTTGTTGCAGTTGTGTGCCAGAGTTCCTAATAGAGAATTTAGCCAGTTTCCTGAGTTTTGTCCGGCGTTTTAGCCCAAGAACTTTTGAAGAACAAGGTTATGCTCTTCTAAATCCAGTGCTTACTCAGATACTAGTGTTCATGGGTTCTCCACAGAGGATGCGAAATCCACATCTGCGGGCAAGCATGGCTGAATGCTTGGAATCCCTCCTCCCATTTCACAGTCAGGAACAGCCAGCATTGAATCCAAACCCTTTGGGCAAGTTTTGCAGAGAAAGTCTTTTCAAGGCACATCCACATAGGAAACAGGTGCAGTTTATAATAGATAATAAAATAATAATATACTAAATAATAAAAATGAATAAGTATATAATAAAACAATATTTAAATCAATGGAGGTAATAGAGGTTACAGTGTCCTGTGCCGTAGCCACGCAGTCTGAGGCATCATGCTTCGGACTGGCGATACGGAATGCGTGCTGGTTCGAGTCTCCGGGGAGAAGAAATTTTCTCATGAGCTTTCGACCGGTGTATGGGACCGGTGCCAACCCAGCATCGTGAGGAAATTGGGGAGCTACAATGAGTAGCGTAATCTGGTCAGGAAAGCTAGCAATGGTTGGGGGTTTTTCGTGCTGACCACACGTCACCCTATATCTGGTTGGATGGTTGTTCACCTCTGCTTAGGCATGTGAACGTGATGCCAGCGGTCAAGCTAGTCGGCTTTGGCTCTCTGGAGCTGTTACGCCACGGATTTAATTTAATAGAGGTTACAGTGGAAATATCTGATGCTTATTATTGTTAGGTTATTATCATATTATGTCCATATTTCATAATATTATGTACAGCAGACTGCACTTTCATCACATATTTGTTCCTGGTCATAAATTGGATTGTGATAAATAAAGTCTGCATGAGCCTTTGTTCAATTATTTTATTTATTTGTGGTTTATCTAACAACACTGTCAGTAGCTCGAATTACACAGAATCACGTGGTAGGAGGATTAATAAATAACGAACTGTAGAAAATATAGAAAGAAGTGGGCATGGCCTAACTTGTAATCATTTTGTAAATACTTTTAACAGGAAATCTGTAAATGAAGAGCACATTAACAGAACAATATTAGGCATGTTTACAACTATAAGTTGTGAAAATATACCTGTTGTCTTTGCCTTGTCTGTCTGTACATAATGGCTGAACATATGTTCATGAAATTTTATATTGGTGAGTTATTAAAATTTGTTGACATATTCCAGTTTTGGTTACAGCTGAACAGCAATAGTGGCACTTTACATGAAGACATGTATTATGCACACAGGACTGGAGAATCCCCAAGCTGCCATGGTTACTGTGATTACTTTTGTTACTATAGTTACCTGGTGAATCCCAAGCTAACCAGACAACTCTGACATCACTGGTACCGTTCTCAAAGGTATATAATTCTGGTTAACATACCAGAATACATACGTTGCTAACTTGTTAGATTGAATATATTTGTTATTTCAGATTGTTAAGAGCCTCCTGGATGTTTTTGTGGGGATTGAAATGACTGGACAGAGTGTAGCTTTTGCAGAGAAATTTAAATATCGTCGGCCGATGTATATTGCAATGGACTATTTATGGCAGATAGAAGAACATAGAGAATGTTTTCAGTAAGTATTATACAGCTTTGCTATTGTTTATGTGTACATGTTTCCTGAGATTTCATAATGCATTGAAAGTTAGGTCAAATATTGCCAGTAAAACTATTAAACTGTTCAGAAAGTACAAGGCTATTCATTTCCTGTGGGTTCTGCATCTTTCCAAAGTTGAGCCAGTCCCAGTTTGAATAGGTGTCCCTTAAGTAGCATTGTTCTGTTTATAATCCTGTCTCCTTATCTTGACTGATTCCTATTCAGTCTTAGTTTTTCTCTAGTTATTTCTTCTAGAATGAAATTCCACAGGTTCTGTCCAGATGTAGTGTTTTGTCCAAGGTTGAAACTGAGCATTTTCCCTGAACTATGTCCTTGTTCCAGTGCCTTCATTTGCTGTGGACCCGTCTGTTTACCAGATCAGTCCTCCATTGATGTAAGGCTGAAACCTATTTTCCCATTCACTTTAGTCAGGAAATCAGACCATGAATGATTTATTAAATACATACTTTGGTATCACTTCATGAGTCGTCATCTGTAAGATGGGGTCCTTCTTCATGTACCAAGAGATATTAGTATGCCCATATCATATGGATCTGGGGTTTTACTGTTCATTGAAATTGAATCTAGATTCCTGCCCACGCCTCATTCTTTGTCTTTACTTGGAGGGGAGTTTGAGGAATACACGATGTGTCTCCTTGTAGATAGGCTTATTTAAAAGTTTTATTACATCTTTATATTGGTACAATTCTTGTTTCTTTCATTGTTAACTGAATCTGACGGGTAATTAGAGAGAGAGATGTATTCTGCCTTAATCTGTAGAAACTTGGCAAGAGAAGCAGAGGCCAATATGGAAACAGTCACTCCGCCCCTGTTTCTACGGTTTGTCAACCTGCTGATGAATGATGCTGTATTTCTTCTGGATGAAGCCCTTTCCAACATGGCAGAATTGCGGCAGTTGCAGACTGCAAGGGAGGCAGGGGAATGGGAGCAACTTCCCATTCATGAGCGAGAATATAATGAAAGATACCTGGAACATATTGGCACAAATGCTAGGTTTGTATGTTTCTTTTACAGTGAAATCTGTTTCTGTTGGCTGCCTGTAGTTCCCATTGATATGTGGCCAGCTTACGCAGGTGGAAGACTTACAGAAAATATTGTTTATCTTTCCTATTTTTTTATGTGAAGTGAATACACATCTGTTTTAGTGTTTTTGAAGTATTTTGTTATGTTATTTAGACTACATACTTAATATTAACTAAGTGGATCTGAAGTGAATGTAAAGGAGGCATTTGTACTTATGAATTGTAATGAGGAGCAAGAAGTACAAAATAAAACATGGTAAATTGCATAAGACAATATATCATTTAGCGTTGCTAAAAATGTAGTGTGATATAAAACTGTCTGAAGTGAGAGTCATTGATTTTAGTCCTCATTTTTGTCATTATAGTAGCACCCTTGTGTGTTTCAATGTTATTGAATAATTATGGGCAAACTACTTGGCACAGGACTGACTGTTATGGACAACTCATAAAGATCATGGTGGAAGACTTGGCAACACCTTGCTGAAAACATTTATCTCAGGTTTCAGTTCTGGGTAGCAAAACAAGTCATGTAGTCAAGTCCTTAGATGTGTTTTTAATTACTAATGTAGTTATAAATTTCCTGGAATTATGGCATCACCCCCACACCAAGTTTTTTATTGATACCAGTAAAATTAAAAAATAACATCCATTAGTTTAGGTTGGTAAACAGAAGAGTACTTAATAAATTGTGCTACACATAGCAGAGCATGTTTTGTGCATTTTAGGTAGGCTAACATGTAACATGAAACTGAGTTTTGCATCAGCTAGCATGCAACAGAGGGAGAGATTTGTTACCCAGCAGCCCTGAGGATCAGAGCAGAGATTGTTCTTAAAACGTTGGCAGAAGATATGGTTTATTTACCGTTCAGCCACCTGACGCAGCTTGTAACCTGAGAATCTTTCATTAAGTACTGTACATTATTGATGCCTGGGTGTCATATAATAATTTACTAGGAGGTGTTTTATAAATTTGAATGCTCATAGGTTTTTAAAACTAATTATATTTTAAAAATCTGGTGTATGATACACAAGTATTTTGGGTATTATTTATAGTTTTTATGTTGAAATCTATATAAGACAGATTGCATCTCAAATAATTGGAAATATAAATTTTGTTGTTCGTACAAATTTTACTTATTAATTCTTTTTCCATAAGCTTGATAATCTTTTCCAGTATTTGTTTCTCTGGTTGTCTATTTTGGCTCCTGACTCATTTAGGTAAATGGGTATTATTTTGTTTTGCAGATTCGACAACATTTTAGGTCGTGAAACAATCCACACTTTGGAGTTTTTAACATCAAAAATAACATCAATATTCTCACATCCAACCATGGTGGATCGTATAGCCTCAATGCTCAACTATTTTCTCTTTCATTTAGTGGGCCCAAAGAAAAAGAATTTCAAGGTATGTGTACAGTTTCTTTTTAAATATTGAAAGTATAAGGTTGTAAGGTGAGTATAGCTGAGTTGGGGGATGGCAGCAAGGCATTTCATAAGATTACAAAAATAAATCTTAGTTAAATCATGTGAATATGGCAGTTGCTAAGTAATGCAAATCCAAGATGTGGGTTGACTTGCTGTGTGGACAATTTTTATGTTTACAAACTAAGTAATAAAGTTATTTCAGCCATTTATATTACAGAAATGCCACTCCTACACATTGCTCTTGAATATTAATTCTGTATTCTAATGTTTAATGTTTCTGATTTGAAATTAAATTTGTTATGTTAATGAAGGCAAATTATGCAATTCTCAAAGGCTACTTCTGGCTTTGGTATTGTAGGTCAAGGATCAGAAGGAATATGAGTTTAATCCTGCAAACATAGTAATGGATATATGCAAGATCTATGTTCATCTATATGAGAGTGATTCATTTAGCCAAGCAGTTTCTCAAGATGGACGTTCATACAGTCCTCACCTTTTTACATTAGCAGAAGATGTTCTTGGTAAGTTATAAGCCATCTTCAATTTAAACATGGAAAATGTTGCAGCATAGTGGTCATCTCACTTTTGTATTCAGGATGTCAAATATTCAAATCTCAGGCACAGGTTATTCCTGTCCTACCAGACAAATACCGGATTGCTTGAAATTAAAATAAGGTGGACCATTTCCTTCCATGTTCTTTGTAGGTCATCATGAAATAAAATGCATTTATTTTATTATTATTACAGTGCTTTCACTGATAAATTGGAATGCAGCTGTCACTGGGGCATCATGTTCCTACGAGGAGCCAGGAAGTTACAGTTACATTCCATCGTTGATTGCACTTATTTTGACAGTTTTAATACGCATATTTGCAAACTTGTCAAGTGCCTATTAAAAATCACTCTGTATATCCATACATGTTAACAAGTTGAGAATGGATACATTGATTTTTATTAGATTCGATATTTGAGAATTATATGAAAAACTGTAGTCATTACAATATTCATTTAATTTGAAAAATTGTAATGACAACTTAATAAAGAGCTGAATTACTTTTTCATGCTTACCTCAGTAAATACTAGGGAAATGTTGTATAAATGGAATTTATAGTTTGATAAGCATGAACAAAGTTATATAATATTTTTCTTTTATGAGTAATTTGAAGATGGTGAATGTTAGTATGTAATTCACTTGCCAGCAAGATTTAGGAATATGCTTTTCTCTGAAAGGCTGACGAAGAGCATAGCTCATCAGTGCAATAAAAATATTACTTATCAGGTGCTTTGAATGTTTCCCTAGGAAGCTGAAAAATTAATGTAACACATATAGTGAACAACAATTTTTTTATTTGTCAGACATGAACTTTTTCTTACCAAAGACAAGTAGAGGAGTCATGGAATCAGTGATTATTTTTATAAGATAATACAGAAATAATAGGAACAGTTACACATATCTATGTTACCTTATTATGTACTTATGAGTTTATGTTCTGCCAGCTCGTATTGGTGGAGGAGCACTCATTGCTGATGTACAAGATGTGGCACTGAAAGTAGCGCAGATGGCATTGCAGAAACAAACAGAGGATGAAATTCTGACAGAGGCACCCGATGAATTTCTTGACCCTATTATGTCAACAATAATGTCAGACCCTGTAATTCTTCCTTCATCACACACTACAGTTGACCGTTCTACAATTGCCAGGTTAGCTACTTCATAGTTTTCATTTCTCATTTTAAACAAACATTTCTAGTAATAATGCTTTCAGTATAAGTAAAAGAAGGGATAACTTTGTCTTTACCTTTATAATTTAATATTATTGTCCCATCTGCATTAAGTCTGCAAAGTGTTCTCTGCCCTTGACATTTTCTTTATTGAGAAAGTATTTTATGAATTACTTTCTGATTTCCCTCATGCATGCAAAGTTAACAGATATTTGTGCCACATAAAATGATGATACCATCCAGAAACATGTGCTCAGCTGAATGTTGCACTCCAAATACTATTTCAAACCTTGGTAAGTTTTGGTTTCCTTTTTTCTTATATTCTTTAGAAATGTGATGCATGTTTTCCTGTTCTCTCAGGTATCATTTAATTGACGCATGGCAAAAATCAGGTATCATTTAATTGACGCATGGCAAAACTACTGTCACCTTAAATGCTGACCATAAATGACTGAAGCAATGCAGTGGAACATGCCTTGGCATGTTCGTAACAATTTTATAGCTGCAGAGTTCAATTGGTCTAAGATATGAATTCATTCTTGGTCATTTTTAATCAGATCTTTTATATGTGAACTTCATAAGGTGACTTTATAATGACTTTTCTGTTGTAGGCATTTGCTTAGTGACCAAACAGACCCATTTAATCGCTCCCCACTCACAATGGATATGGTGAAACCAAATGATGAACTTAGGCTGCAGATTGAAGCATGGATCAAGGAAAGGAAGCAACAGCACCAGTAGCAATGTCTTATCATCTTATGTACAATATGTAGTGAAGTTCCCACCAGTTATTTGTTGGTGGTATTCATTTTCTTGTGGTTTCTTGTCCTTGGTGTCTTAATTTGTAAGATTGTTATTTTATAGCACTTTTTCCATCTACACAACAAACTTTAATTATATACTAATTATGTGTTAAATAGGGCCACTACATGTTTTGGTCTCTTATATGACCATTATCAAGTGGCATACAATATATGATAGAATTTTAACTCTATGACAGCGTTTTGAATTTAATATTTATTTAAATGTTAAAATGAATTGAATCCCATCATAAATTCTATGAGTAGTGCAACTAAGAGGACTGGGTTAATTGTAGTTATGTAATTCTGTGTTAATGACAAAAGGGACAAGTGGGTAATATATTGAGTAATAATAAATAGTGGTTTTTTGGGTTGATATCTTGAATGTCCAAAAACACAGCCCAAAGGTGTAGAGTGTGTTATCGGCTTGTCAGAAATGGGTGTTAATAGATGGCTAGAGTGATAGGTTACCCATTTGTCTCTCGTGTATGATACTTGTATAAAATGGTGTGTTTGTGAAGGAATTATAAAGTGATCGAGATGTACAGCTACTGAAATTGTGGCAGAGATGTCATTAAGTTATGTAACTCTCCTTTGATGTATAGTTAAGTAGAAAAGGTACTGTGTTGATGTAGCTGGGACGAGAGCCAGAGAGGAACTATAGCAAGATGCCTAGATTGTTATTGTATTTATATTCTTGTTGATGTTTGAGTTTAAACAAACTTCCATTGATATACATCATGAGCTGACAGTGTTGTTAAATAAATCACAAACAAGTAAATTGAAATTGTCTTTATTCAACATTCTGCTTTCAAATAATTCCATTTAAATAACTCTTGATAAATATCAGAGTAAATATATGATTATAGTATGTTTAGCATAGTGTATGTTATGGTTATTTCCTTTCTTAAATGTAATACACAATTAATACTGTATTAAAAAGTTGTAGTAAAATGAATTTATTTTCTTTATTGTTTATATCCATACTGCATTGTGCAGAACATGGTTCATAAAATTGTTTCCACAAAATTGTTAGCATTTGTTGCTGTGGTAAATGCAGTAAAATATTGGGAAACAAGAGGTGGTGTTCTGGTAATCTGTTCCTGTAAAATTCATTAGCACATTATTTTTGGCAAGTAATCTTATGCTCATCAAGAATTCATCGATGAACAACTGTCTGTAAGTTGCATAAAATATTCATCCAAGCCTTCAATTTATGCACTGTTTTAAAATTACAGTGGATCCTTTTAAAAATGTTGCAGGAAGTAAGCACCTGTAAAACATCAGTCATTTCCTACCAGACTACAAGGTGCAACATCCCAAAAGACAAGTCATCTTCATACTTGCCACCATGAGAGTAGGATGATTTTCTTAAAAATTTCTTATATTTAAAAACTGTACAGTATAAAATTGTTCCATTGATTTCTGTAAGTTTTATCACAAAATTAATCGACCTAACGACGGAGACAGTATGACCTCTGAAACGTTGGTGGAAATCTACCAGACCATACGGCGCAATAACCCAGAAGTCGGCAAACTTCAGACTCAAGCTGTGAAAACCTCTTATCGTACAAGTTATAGCAGCTAACTTTATTACCGACTGAAGTGCCACTACAGCCATGCAAACCACTGTTTGGTTTATAAATTTCTAGAAAATAGATGGCAGCTTGCATGGCGCTGCGTTGCAAACAATTGCATAGAATTGCACATCTGCGTGTGTGTTTGTGTTGATATAAAGATGTCAGTGTAGACGTCTGTATAGCGCAACAAGTACTAATATTTTAGTTGAATGTATAACATTGAAATATTATGTACACTCTCCTCCATGGCTTATATAAATATATTGCACAAAAGGATGAATACTGTGTTTTAATATTAGGTTTGGACAATGCTGGTAAAACAGTAAGTAGTTCTAAAGAACCTGGTTTCGTGGGCACTTTACCATAAATGAAATTGCAGTTGTGTACCATGTATTCAGTTTAAGTATTTTCTAGAGGGTAAAGAGTTTAAAATTCACCATAGCATGATTAATTTTCAGACGTATCTGGAAGCAGCCAAGACAAAGTTTACGAAAAACTACAAGGGAATGAAGCCAAGCAAAATTACGACCACAGTGGGATTGAATATTGGCAAGATTGATATTGCTGGAATCCGTCTCAACTTTTGGGACTTGGGTGGGCAAGAAGAATTGCAATCTCTATGGGACAAAGTGAGATAATTTGTTCTGTTTTCCTGCATGCATTTTGGATTATAACGTCATTGTTACATACAAAATCCTTACATTATATGCAGTAAAGTCAGGAAGTTCCCGGACTTGGAAGTTGAAGGGCTAGGTTGGCACATTCATCGCCCTGATAACGGAGGCGGTATGACGTCTGAAGCGTTGTTGGAAATCTACTAGACTACAGGGCTCAATAACCTAGAAGACAGCAATCATCAGACTCATCACTGTGTAAACCTCAAATCCTACATTCCCAGACTTGGCTTAGACACAGCCTGTTGTTTAGAATGCTCAAGCAAAGAATTGTCTTTTGAGAGTGGCTGTGCTTTGATGAAGTCCATGAATTTATTTTTACCATGTATTTATAAATCCCCAAAGGGGGCAGAGAATTTTCTTCTAGTCTATGCATCCAGACTGGTGCTGGGACCCACCCAGCTAAATATCTAGTGGGTACTGGATTCCTTTCCTGCGGGTAAAGCATGGTCGTGGCGTGACACTGACCCCTCACCTCTTAAGTTAAGAATGAGTAGGAGCTGTACCTCCTCTCCCCCCCAATTGCCTAAATGGCACATAGTGAGACAGCTTTACTTTGCTTTTACTTTTTACATATTAAAAAAATAGGTAGAGGATTTGAGGTTATCATGGCAATAAGTCTGAAGCTGGCTGTCTTCTGGGTTCTTGCGTCATGTAATGTGGTAGAAGTTTATGAAAATTTCAAACGGTCCTTGCTTCTTCCATTATCAGGGCCCTGATGATGGAGGCACAAAAACCCAGAAGACAGCCAACTTCTTTAAATATGGATGCATTATGTACATTATGAAGCAAAATGTGGAACAATATGTCACATTCAGAAAATACTAATAAATGCAATACAGGTATTGATACATCTTCAAAACAGAATACCCTGCAATTATAATTACATTATTAATATTTCTTTAGCATTTATAGAATATATAGGTAAAATTCCAATTTATTTAGAATATGTTTATTACCAAATTAACATTTCAGGTAATTATTTATACATACAAATTTTACACATTTAATTTACAGTCAGATACTTGATTAAAGTGTTTAATTATCAAATGTTTCAAGTTGTTAAAAATGGTTTCAGTTGCACAATCTGTATAGTGCTTATAACTTGCAGTTTTAGAATTGATAGACAGGAAAAAATGCATTATACTGTGATGTCTATGCAGCTGTTGTGTAGATGCAGAAAGAATATTATGAACATGATTGAGCATCTAGCAAGAAATACAAATGAAAGACTAATCATAGTTTAAGGATAAATTTTGAATGTTTGTCATAGATATATTTTGGGGAAAACTGAAGCATTTGATTTGGCTACCCACTCTTCCACCTCCATTCTGTCTGCCATGGCTTGCAGCTTGTGATTGATCACACACTGATAATTAACAAAATCTTTTAATAGTAGTTATTGTACAAAGCTGGGGGGAAAAATCCAGCTTTGTCATTTCATATCTTATATAGTCTATAAATATGTAAGTATTACAAACAGTATGAGTGAAGTTATGAGTGAAGTCTGAATCCATCAATCAGCATTCCATGCCCTATCTCCAAAGATCTGAATCCATCAGTCAGCATTCCATGCCCTATCTCCAAAGAAATGACAAAAATAATCACCTGTGTATTCTGCAACTTTGTTATTAAATGCAAGTGAGTAGTTCATTATTTGGTTGTATTAATTCTTTTGCTTTATATTCCTTTTGTTGCAGTATTATGCTGAGTCTCATGCTTTGATCTATATTGTGGATTCATCAGACAGAGACCGTATACCAGACTCAAAGGAAGCTTTTGGTATGCTTATTTCTTTAATATTATATTTACTTTTTGTAGAGGTATTTTGTTCCAGTCTATGATGTATGTGCATTAATAAACCAAAAAGTGTGCTTTCTATCCTCTCTCACACCTAAACTCTATGAAGCCTCCTGGTCAGTAGATACTATGGGAAGGTCTTTGAGGCTGAAGTGGGTAGTGTGTAATGATAACCATTTGTCTCAGTTTTATGCTGAAACATAAAATACTTGGAGCTTTACTTCTGCTCCTGCTATACTGCTTCATGGTATGTAATTAATTAAATTTAACATATTTGAAAATAGTGTCCAACAAGATAACCAACAAGGCAAAAGTTACTGCATTTTATCTTATACATGTTTCCATATAGGTACTTGCACATTAGTATCATTCCTTAAGATGCTTTATATTATATGTTGCCAATGTTATGCTGTTGACAGATAAAATGATTTCCAGTAACTGCTTGAATGGAGTTCCTCTTCTTGTATTAGCAAACAAGCAGGATATTCCAGACTGCATGGGAGTGCGTGAAGTGAAGCCCATCTTTAATCAGAGTGCTCATTTGATTGGTCGAAGAGACTGTATGGTGATGCCTGTATCAGCTCTGACTGGGTATGGAAAGATTATTTTGGTGATCAGCTTTGATAAATTTACCTCTCACAGTATTGTAACAGACTGAATTATGTTATAGGATAAATGAATACATCCAACCAGTATTTTGTTTCTTAAGATTTATGTAGTAAGACATTTACTGAGGAAGATCTCAAAATAGTTTTTTATAAGAAAGAGGAAGAGATGATTTTTATTTAGGAAAAGTCTATGTCAGTTTTAATAAGTATTAATACACTTTTGGAAGTTAATAAATTTAACAGTGTACATTAAATCAACAGTTGATTCATGGTACATTCACTTAAGATTAATTTGCAAAATAATTTCATGAAAGAATGATGCCTTCATTATTTCTGTTCTGTGTCATATACAGGTAGCCCTCGATTTACGCCTGGGATGCATTCCTGGACGAACCGGTCTAAACAGAATCGGCGTAAATTGAAACTCTTTTATAATGTAAATCAGTGGGAAGTCAATGACATGCGTTCCCAGCACCCAAACATTGACGAGTAATATAATGACATTACATTTAAAGTTCTGAAATCACGTAAATAAAATAAAGGGAATTAAGAAAATATATTTTATACACCTACAATCGGCAATTCGTTGGTCCCCGTGATTGACTGCGATTCTTTCATGTGATTGATGTGTACAGTCATCTCTGCTGTTATG